TCATGCTCAATGCGTGAGACTTGAGAGCACTGTGTCGGTTTTTTTTAATAAACAAAGGTATTACGATGTGTCATACGTGTAGCTTTGTTTTAATCGAACAAGATCAAATTTCCGGCCAACCCAACTCCTCTGAGATGAAATTCCGACAGGCGACATAGGAATCTTGTGAAATGCCGACATGGCTGGTGATGAATTTCAGACAGGGGACATGGGTACCCCCCCTAACAGAGCCTTGTTTACGGCAGGAGCCTTCTTCTGATCAAGTTTGAGGTCGTTCGCAATGCCTCACAGTAGCTTGATTTTGCCACAGGCATCCTGCTGAGATGCAGAGCCCTGATGTGTCAGAGTGTTAATGCTGTGCTCAGTTGATTCACCACTTGTGGGTTTTTTTGACCCAGATTGCTGGTTTTTGTCCGACTGTTCAGTAGATCGTTTGTCCGTGTTGGCAGCTATTTGTAGCTGCTCGTTGCTTTCCTCTGGAGGACCTTCCTTGATTACAAGTTGGTCAATGGTGTCCTTCATCTGACCTAAGGATTCAACCACTGTAGACTTCATTGAGGTAATGGAAGACACCAGAAGCTTACTCATTGAGCTGATCGCCAAGACAATGGCCGACTCGCCATTGTTTGGCACCGTGCCATTGCCAGCATTGTGAAGCGAAGAATCTGTCATTCTTTCAGCTCTGGAAACACTTTTCCTTTGTCTTTAGATCGTAAACACCTTCTACAATAACTTCAGAAATTCCTGAAGAGGTGCTGTTTTAAAACACAGGTATTTCAAGAATTTTTTCCCCAATTTTACAGTGTGCTAATCTATTGCTGACCAACTTGAGCAAGGCGGGAATTGCACTGATCACTTGGGCAGCTGGTGCTTTATCACATGACTTCATAGTGCACATGATGACAAGGCAGAATCTGCCTTTCAGGAGTGTATTTCATGTCCCAGGAATGTTTGATTAGAGCCAATTTCTAATTTTCAGAGTTTTTAAGGTAAAGACATACAGGTTGATTTTGGTTATAACATCATTGGAACTGTGGGAGGCACAGTGGCCTCATGGTTGGTGTGCTCGACTGCAGAGCAAGTGGTCTGGGTTCAAGCCCTGCCCAGGTACATTGTGTTGTGTTCTTGGGCAAGACACTTAACTCTCACAGTGCCTCTCTCCACCCAAGTGTATAAATGGGTGACAGCAAATTTAATGCTGGGGGGTAACCCTATGATGGACTAGCATCCCATCCAGGGAGGAGTAGAAATACTCCTAGTTACTTCATGCTACAGAAACCAGGATAAGCTCCGGCCTGATGTGCCACTAGACTCATATGTAGACTTTTTCTTTATCATTGGAACTACTAGTGCCCCATAAGCATTTGGTCATACATTTTGGTTGTTTATTAGTGTTTGCACTGATTGAAGACTTTAAGACGTTCGTGTGAAAATTTTCCAGTCAATAGATTTTTTTGAAATTTTTACTGCAGTTAGATAATGAGTTACTTGTGTCAGAAATGTCAAAAAAAATTGAGGTCACCGTCTTCGTTTCAGAGATAAAGCATGTGGAAAACTACTCTGATTTTGAAAAATTGGCACACATAATTCAGCATGGTTTACATGGTTTTATAGTTAAAAATATCGAAGGTGAGTCAATGGAGGCAAACGATCTCAGTCATATTTTGTGGAAGTGGGTCTGTTGCGAAAATAATTTCAAATGTTACCAAAGTTTTCACAAAACATAACCCTTCAAGAGGCATTTCAAACCGTTGCACAGATAAACAAAGAGCTAAGAAGAACAGAATTTGATTATGCATTTTGCAAAAAATTCAAACTTCTAGTCAATAGATTTTCTTAATTTTTTCCCTTAATGTAGAAAATCAGTAGAGAAAATGATCCATCAAAAGAAAAATAGGAGTCACCAAACGTCCAAGATTGTTAAATCCAGGCAAAGCTTACAGCAATGGCCATCTGCCCTATCATTGTTAATTTTATTACCTAGTGAGTGCTCTCATGCATGATGTGGCGTGTGAATTTGCATGTGTGGTAAGGATGCACAGAAACATTTAGCGCAAACGTCCTTAAGCAGACAGAAGTTAGGAAAAGAAAAGCATCTTGCAACATTTTATATGAGGTAAAAGTTGGGCTCTTTTAGTTCCTCAACACTTTGAAAGCTACCTTATGGGCATCATAAACGTAAGACACAGGGAAGGATTTATTTGTGTTAATGGATGTCTTGAATTGACTTGTGTAGTTACAGGAAAGCCACCCTAAGTGGTGCCACGGTGGAACATCGTTTAGAGTTGGGACGATTTCACGTCAGAAACCTTTTGCCTAACAGCATCTATAAGGTGAGATGGATTATTACCGGAAGGTTACAGTACATGTGTAGCTCTTGATACTGGTGAAATGTGCATTATGTCACGAGTATGAAACAAAGGAAAAGTCTGAGTCCCTCACAGGATTTGAGCCCATGACCTGCCAGATTCTAGTTTTGCACTCTATCTGTTCAATGTTACAGGAACATGGATTTGGTCTAATTTTATTAAGCCAAACATCCTTGGCTCTCCTAGATAATTAGCTTTGCTATTTGGATGATTCTAACAAGCTCATTATTAAGATCAAGCTGCTATTTTTATTCTTTATATTTAATGCGATGAGCTTTATATTGTTACCATATCATTCTGTACACTATAGTTAACTGAGCTGAATTAAATAAAATTAATAAATTTGATTTCCATGCAGGACTCAGGTGTTTCCTTTGTCCCACGATTGTCATACAGTTAACATAGCAACTTCATTCACTGGGCCCAAAATGTACCTTCTTTGAACATTTCAAGTCCGCTGTTACGTAACCTATTTGATTGGAGCTTGTGAACAGTGAAAGAAAACAGAGACCAAGGCTAATGCATTTGGTTATCCATTAAATGCTGAAAAGTGTCTGTTGTCTGTTTGGTTCTGGTCATAAAGTTCTGCCACTTGAACAGTTCAATTAATTGTCAGAAACTAATTCACACGTTAAACATCCTTGGCCCCAGTCTGCTGACATAACATGGATCCTTTGAAGACTAAAGCGTATTTCGTTAACCACCAATCCAGAGTTAATGCAGTATTCACTACAAAATTTGGGTTCTTTCTTGTTGTACTTTCAGGATGTCATGAGCCCATTAGACCTCAGTGGTAAGGGTCACGTAGATAGAGCAGTGGCTGTTCGGGTATTCAGTCGAGTGAGGCCTCCAGGTATGAAAATAAGTCTGTTCAACAACTTTGCTTGACATACACCAGCCAGACACACAAACGCTGAGCAATAATGAAGTGGGCTGAAGTGGTGCAAGCGCCATGTGAGCAACCTTTTAGAAATACATACAATGGTTCCCATACCTGCAGCATTTTTGAGCTTTGTTTCGAAATATACATTAAGCTATACAACCATGGTTTCTGGCATTCAGGCATTTGTTGATCAAAGCCAAAAAAGCCTAAAATTTCTAGTGATTCTGCAAGAGTATCACAATTTGTTTTTGCCCACTGAATCTTGAGGAATCAACATTGTCTGCTCTACCAATGGGTGTTGTTGACTTCATGAAACAGATGAATTTCCAACAGCTTGCAAATATTCTTCTCAAAAAATAGATTGAAATTATGCACTAAAAACGAAAGAACTGTTCAAGGGAAGCTTGCCAAATCTGCTCTTGTCAGCCTTTTCTACCAGCAGAACTTTCCATTAAGTGACACGTGCCACCCTCTTTTCCATGTCAAGTGCAGTTATAATGTCTGGTAATGAAGATTCAGTTAACCAATCAGAAAGCTAGAAAATGCATTATCAGAGGTTTAGAATTTAATAATATTTTGAAAAGAATATTGTCATAAAACTAGTTTCATTTTCTTTTCTACAGTTGGAGGCATCGGCGTGAAGGAGCATTTTGAAGTGAACGTATGTCCACTGGCCGTTCGCTTAACATATCGCTTGTTCAAGAAAGTTATGGTGTTTTTCTTCCCTCAAAGAGCACATGAATACGAGGCTGAGGTGGGAGAGGTTGACCTCGGATTTAGAGGTTAGTCCTTAGTTACAATTCATAATTATAATTCTTCATAAATAGAACACTTTTAGCAATATAATTATATAGGTATAAGTTGATTTTGGACAGAATCCACCACCTCTAGGAGCATCTCATTCTGGGAGGAGAAAGGCACTGCCAGAAATAAATGTTTGGTTCATGAACATAAAGTTTACTGAGTTTTCCAAGCATCAGTCTTTGTTCATAAAGCAGCAAGTAATATCCCTGTCCTTCTGTATGGAGTGTTTCTTTTCATTCTTTTTTAATAAGTGATAGCATAGCTAGACTGAGTTATAGCAGTTAGTTGGCGAAGAAATAATTCACTCAGTCAGTCAGTCATTAGCATCATCAGCACCAAGAAGACAGAAGTAATGTACCAGCCAGCCCCGAACAAGCAGTACCACGAGCCGCAGATAACGGTGAATGGTCAGGTACTACAGGCAGTAGAGACTTTCACATACCTGGGCAGCACACTCTCTCGCAATGTGAACATTGACGCTGAGATCAACAACAGAATCTCCAAGGCAAGCAGCGCGTTCAGGAGACTGCAGGAGAAAGTCTGGGAGAGAAGAGGAATCAGCCTCAATACCAAGCTCAAAGTCTACCATGCTGTGGTCCTCACCTCCTTACTCTATGGCTGCGAAACCTG